TACATAGTGAATTTCAGACCGGTTAACAAAATAACACACTACTTAGTAAGTTTTATCAATTTTTTTTTAGGGAAAAATGCTTCCAGCCCCCAAAAGCCAAGTTAACGTGCTTCACCCCCAAGACTTGGTCAATGAGTGTTTTACCCCTAAAAATAAAGATTTTGTTCTCTGAGCCCCAAAACACAAAACCCAAAACATTAAAACATGTGAAGACCATAATACCATTCTCTCTCTCTCTCTCTTTTTTTATTAAAATATGATGAGGATTATTTTATTATTATTTTTTTCTCTCTCTCTCTTTATCATGATGTACCAAGAGGATAGTTGAAATGATTGATGAGGATTATTTTATTATTTTTGTTTTTTATTTTTTTGGTTGTTTGTATTGGGAGGTTGTTAAAGTTACGGGTTGATTGTTAAAGTTACGGGTTGGTTGTTAAGGTTAAGGTATCTCTCTCTATCTCTATCATGATGTTTTTTGATGATAATTAAATAGGATTATTATTTTATTATTTTATTATTTTTGTTTTTTATTCTTTTTGTATTTTTAGAATATTCGTTGTTAAGGATAATGATTGGTTGTAAAGGTTATGCATTGATTGTTAAGGTTACGGGTTGGTTGTTAAGGTTAAGGGTTTGTTGTTAAGGTTATGAGTTTGTTGTGTAGGTTACGGATTTATTGTTAAGATTACGAGTTTAATTGTTAAGATTACGTGTTTAATTATTAAGGTTACGGATTTAATTGTTAAGGTTAATAAAAAACGAAAATAATAAAATAATCCTCATCAATCATTTTAACTATCCTCTTGGTACATCATGATAAAGAGAGAGAAAACAAAAATAATAAAATAATCCTCATCATTTTTTAATAAAAAAAGAAAGAGAGAGAGAGGGGATCCATAAACTTAACAACAAACCCGTAACCTTAACAATCAACCCGTAACTTTAACAACCTCCCAATACAAACAATCAAACTAATAAAAATCAAAAATAATAAAATAATCCTCATTAATCATTTCAACTATCCTCTTGGTACATCATGATAAAGAGAGAGAGAGAGAGAGAAAACAAAAATAATAAAATAATCCCTATTATATTTTAATAAAAAAAGAAAGAGAGAGAGAGAGAGGATTCATAACCTTAATAACAAACCCTTAACCTTAACAACCAACCCGTAACCTTAACAATCAACCCGTAACTTTAACAACCTCCCAATACAAACAACCAAAATAATAAAAAACAAAAATAATAAAATAATCCTCATCAATCATTTCAACTATCCTCTTGGTACATCATGATAAAGAGAGAGAGAAAACAAAAATAATAAAATAATCTCCATCATATTTTAATAAAAAAGAAAGAGAGAGAGAGGATTCATAACCTTAACAACAAACTCTTAAGCTTAACAACCAACCCGTAACCTTAACCATCAACCCGTAACTTTAACAACATCTCAATACAAACAACCAAAATAATAAAAAAACAAAAATAATAAAATAATCCTCATCAATCATTTCAACTATCCTCTTGGTACATCATGATAAAGAGAGAGAGAAAACAAAAATAATAAAATAATCCCCATCATATTTTAATAAAAAAAAGAGAGAGAGAGGGGATTCATAACCTTAACAACAAACCCTTAACCTTAATAACCAATCCGTAACCTTAACAATCAACCCGTAACTTTAACAACCTCCCAATACAAACAACCAAAATAATAAAAAATGAAAATAATAAAATAATCATCATCAATCATTTCAACTATCCTCTTGGTACATCATGATAAAGAGAGAGAGAAAACAAAAATAATAAAATAATCCCCATCATATTTTAATAAAAAAAAGAGAGAGAGAGGGGATTCATAACCTTAACAACAAACCCTTAACCTTAATAACCAATCCGTAACCTTAACAATCAACCCGTAACTTTAACAACCTCCCAATACAAACAACCAAAATAATAAAAAATGAAAATAATAAAATAATCATCATCAATCATTTCAACTATCATCTTGATACATCATGATAAAGAGAGAGAGAGAAAACAAAAATAATAAAATAATCTCCATCATATTTTAATAAAAAAAGAAAGAGAGAGAAGGGTATTATGGTCTTCACATGTTTTAATATCTTGGGTTTTGTGTTTTGGGGGCTCAGAAAACAGATTCTTTATTTTTAGGGGTAAAACGCCCATTGACCAAGTCCTGGGGGTGGGAAGCATGTTCACTTGGCTTTTGGGGGCTGGAAGCATTTTTCCCTTTTTTTTTATAATAGAGCCGGAAGATATTTGTATGTGCAATGTCTGGTAGTTATTAAATTCATCATTTGCAAGAATAAAAAAAGATATGAATACTGGCTTTAAGGTTAAAAAAATGGGTGGCACTATGGGCACACCACCAACCACAACCTCAACCACACTCCTTCTCTCATTTGCTACAGCACACCGGGCCCCACATGAGATTTTAAAATTTTAAAATCTCATGTGGGGCCCGGTGTACTGTAGCAAATGAGAGAGGGAGTGTGGTTGAGGTTATGGTTGGAAGTGTGCCCCTATCATTTTCCTAAAAAAATGTTGCTTTCGCTCCAGCTTGAACAATAGATAAATGGACAAAAAAAAGCACTGTAGTGATAGAACATGTTTAAGATTTAAAAAGTATATTGTAGCATGAACAATTTTTTAAGCCAAAAAAAATCATTACAGCACGAACAATGTGGGTAAATGTAAAAATTTTACTGTAAGATGAACACTATAATATATCAAGAATAGTACTTTACTGTAGTATGAATAGTTAATTTTAAGCTGCTAATTTTGAATTAGAAGAAGTAGTAGATGATATTATTATCAATATTTGGTGTAAGCATGATATTATTTAAATAGAAAACATAACCAGTTTGTTATTAATTTCAATATTCATAACAAAACATCGCTGATGAAAAAAAGCCCCGGTGAACATGGTGCTATTAAAAATGCTAATTTGGTAATTTAGCCGTTTCTAGTATGGAAGAGAGCTAAACCGTCGCATGTGATAATGGGGGATTTGGATCCTCTCCACTACAAAAAAGTAGTGGAGATACCACTACTTTTAATCTCAAGCGTTGATTATTTAGTAGGCGGTTATGATACAATCTAAATCTAACACTTACCATACCCCCGTGTATTGCACTCATTCCTAATTTGCACTAAAAGAAAAAATCATAACCATCAACTAGATAATCAATGGCTGTGATTATGTAGTGGTCCCTCCACTATTTTTTTTGTAGTGGAGAGGATCCGAATCCGATAATGGGTTGGCTAATTAGCATTTACTAAATACTTATGGCTTTCTCTATTTTGGATTTGGATCCTCTCCACTACAAAAAAGTAGTGGAGAGACCACTACTTTTAATCTCAAGCGTTGATTATTTAGTAGGCGGTTATGATACAATCTAAATCTAACACTTACCATACCCCCGTGTATTGCACTCATTCCTAATTTGTACTAAAAGAAAAAATCATAACTATCAACTAGATAATCAATGGCTGTGGTTATGTAGTGGTCCATTCACTATTTTTTTTGTAGTGGAGAGGATCCGAATCCCTCTATTTTGCACTTATATTTGATCGATTTTGTATTTTTCGGACTTTTTAAATGTGTATTTTAATTATTATTTTTTGTGTAAACTTGAAGCATATTGTTATGTGAATTTGCATGTTAATTTTAGAATTTTTAATTGTTAATGTTGTTGATTCATTATTATTAATATTAAGCCTGTGCGTTGATACAAGTATTATTTGCAAAGGTATATTTGTCACTAAATTGATAATATAATTTTTGTATGTAACTATTTATAAAAATTTCTGTCACAAATTTTTTTACTACTATTTATTGCGTGAATCTTCAAATTAGTTAACAAAATAATATACCAATTAACAAGTTTTATCAAGATTTTTTTCAATAGAGCTAGAAAAGATCTATATACGTGGAATGTCTAATAAAATTTCAAATCACCATTTGCAAAGGAAAAAAAAGTAGATATGAACGATTTTTAAAGGGTTAAATTTTTTTTACTTTAGCTTGAACAAGGGACAAAGGAACAAAATGTACTGTAGCATGAATGGCTATTAGTTTTAAAAAAATACTATAGCAGGAACGATATTTATATTCAAGATGCATTGTTGCTTGCAAAGGTGTTTAATATTTAAAAGTGTACAGTAGCAAGAATAGTGCTTATTGTAGTATGAAGAGTGATTTTAAACTTTTACGTTGAAGTTAAAAGTAGTAGATACCTAGTTGAATTCTATTCTAAACATATTTTCAAAATTTTTTTTGTTTCTCCTTCTAAAATTTCAAAAGTGACAAGTAGAAATGGCTCAAAGCATGCAGTTATTGCAATAAGGACTCTATAAGAGTCACCCCTGTAAAAAGGGGATGGTTTACTCTTTAAATTGAATAGCCACAGGTTCCAATCTCACCCTTTAATCAACATGTATGATGCACATCACTCCATTCTATGGGGCGTTGTGATAAAATCATTATTCTAATTGTTGTAGCAAAATTATATTTTGCACTGTCAAAATAGAAAAGAATATTTTCCTTTCTGATATTTCTATCAACACGCACATATTTGAACTTAACACTATATATCCATGAGGAGGTATTTTTTTATGCTCTCTACTTTCAGAAAATAGTGGAGAGATAGCTTCTTTTCATAGCCAATATTTTTTTTTTGGTAAATGAAAATTTTATTCATCACCAAAATGTAAAGTTTATGTACATCAAGAATCTCAAGAAAATGTAATTGAGATAACTAAGACAAGACTATAGCTGGAGCACAAGATCCAGCTTAAACAAAGAACAAAGTAGCAAAACCTGCACACTTATATTGTGTACATATCTCCAATCAGAAAAACCTGCATACCAGGGAAGGGGTTTCAAGCTTCTGCACCTGATATAGAATCTCATCTCCTCAAATTTGAATGCAGGCTGAAATTTCTTTCTGCAGAAACTCTTCATATAGCAGCTATAGTGAGGAGAGCCAAACTTTTTCTTCAGCTGGGATTTGGGAGTTAAGAAGGATAGTTAAGATATCCACTTTAATGCTTTTAATCAACATATCACTGCTCTTGGACTGTCCTTTGAAAAATCTGTCATTTCTTTCCCTCCAAATGGTGTATACAGCAGTGGAGAGAGCCATTCTTTTGATTCTTTGAGTGATACTCTTTCCTTTCAGCCTGGAATTATACCAATCCAGCAAAACACTCCATTCAGATGCTCTCCATTTAAAATTCAGCCAGTCCATGATGGCATTCCATATCCTATTTGAGAACCTGCAATCAAAAAACAGGTGGCTGTGGCTCTCCATATTAGCACCTTCACACAAATAACATTTATTTACTTGAATGATCCCCCTATTGATTAATCTGTCCTGTGTTAAGAGCTTTCCTTGAACAGCAAGCCATGTAATAAAAGAGTGTTTTGGATGTCTAAATTTCTCCCAGACTGTCATAAACCAACTAATTTCTGCTGTAGCTGGGGATAGGACAGAATAAAGGTCAGATAGATGAACTTTTGAGTTATAGTAGCAGGAGCTAATAATCTTCTTCAAATTATCAACTCCCCCCCAAGTAATCATAGCCTTGTTTCTGACTTTAAGCACTTGTTTCCAAACCCATGAATCTCCAGTCTTCACATTTACAGACCAAATGTCTCTGTTTTTGATATAGTTTCCATGAATCCACTTTATCCACAAAGATTCCTTATTTGTATGAATATACCAGATTGTTCTCAATGCAGCAGCAGTATTCCACAAAGAAGCGGAAAAAATACCAAGGCCTCCATTTTTCTTACCAGTACAGACTTTATCCCAGCTCACAAGAGGTGGTTTAAATTTCAGATCAGAGTTTCCCCATAAAAAATTCCTGCAGAGCTCATTCATAGCCAATATTGATTGATCAATGAGAGACTATGATTTATCTTCTTGGGTGAAATAGAAACTGAGTATATGTAACTCATGCAAATATAGTAAATGTTATTTTTGGAATGGAAAATAATTGTCGATTTGATCGTGGAGAGGATCCAAATCACCATATAACAGATTTAAATCTTCTCTGGCTCAGAAAATAGTCACTCTGATACTCTCAGATGGTCATTCCGTTCTTGTTTCCTTTCAATATTTACCAATTCTTCTATTCTTTTATCTTGCTAATTAAATACGCATCTTTCCTTTCACTAGCTAAAATGACAAGACATCTAACGAGATATAATTAGACACCGAGACGAGATATAATTAGACACCGGAACAAGGCAGAGATCGAGGGGCACGTCGCTCAAGGACCTAGCCAGAAACTCAAGGGTCATAACTTTGAGTGCGGTCATTTGCTTCGGTTGGTTTCTAAAATTTCTCGCCAGAAATAATGGTTGTTAGTTTGCTGCAACTATATATAAATATTTTGTCGGTGGTAACTAACATATTCCCACTGCATCAATTCTACAGTTATAGAAGGTCAATTTAGTAATTTACTGTAATCAACAAATGAAGGAAAAATAATAATAATCTAACATTCCCCTTGATCTCATGCTCTAGTTCTTCCATTGCGCTGATCTTCGGTTAAGTCATGCATTTGTACTAAAATTTATTGTATTCATTGCTGCTTTATTGGTTAGTCTTTGAACTTGTCATTAATTTAACTCCCGCAGTTACACGCAGTAGATGTCTCTCTTTACGCATAGAGCAAACTCACGAAGATTACCCAGCTGGAGATCATGTAGTAGCTTTAATTTGAACCATTTCCACTTACCTTGTAAATTTCATGGTTATAGGATACAAGAAGTTACTTTTAGCTGATCAGTAGCCAAATGAGATCCTCATTACACTTCTTATATTGATTCTAAAGCTTGGGCATCCCACCATTTTGGGGCAGATGGCTCAGCAACAAAGGACTAACTATTATGAGATAGAACATGTGCAAAAGATTCTTCAGCAGTCCCTTTGTCTTGTTACCCTTGTGATCAAATGTGATCAAATCCTTTTGAGACTCTCCCAATTTCCTAATCCTATGCACAGACACTAAGGTTGTGTTTGACGATTAATCTGCACTAATCTGATTAAGGTCTTAGCGATAAAAAATAATCTGGTTTAAGGTCCTCTTTTGAATTAAAATAACCAGTCCAATTCTTTGACAAGTTTCTGCCAAACACATTTTTAGCTCTTAACTAGATACATTAATGACTAACATGGTTCGTGAAAGAGTCCCCAAACTTAACCTAAAGATTGTGCATGCTAAGCTTAACTAGAATCCATATACAACATGTGACACCTCCACACTTTAGTCTTACATAGATTAGCGTGAATAAATGTTAGTGGCTTAAATAGAAAAAAAACCCAAGACCAAAGAACAACTAGCTAGTGCTAGCATTTTGGTAATGGATTTTAGCCAACATCGAGTTGCTCTCGGCGGGTCTCACGGCTTGCACGCGCCTATAGGGTCCACGGGCCCAGGGCGTGACACTACAGCTTGTTCTTTGTTTGGTAGAACCAAAGTCAATAGAAGATGCTGATAACTATTTGCAAGTTTCTCATTCCTTATATCCCTTCCATCTGCCAACATAAAAGTTGGTGGTTTGTTTGGTGGAACCATTTAAACCATCTTGCTCTGACGCCTATGCTTTTCTTACCCATGCACGACATCTAAACTCCTCCTTAGTTATCATCCTACGCTCAAAGTCACTTCCTTATCCTATTAAGTTGTATTAATTGGCTTTTCACCTCTCTCTCTCTCTCTCTCTCTCTCTCTCTCTCTCTCTCTCTCTCTCTCTCTCACCCATTTTATTTTCTTTTCTCCTCTCTCTCTCTCTCTCTCTCTCTCTCTCTCTCTCTCTCTCTCTCTCTCTCACTCTCTAGGTTAGATTAGTTGAACCATTCATTTGTTTGTTGCAACCATCAATAACAAGAACTACATTTTTAATTAATTTCTGAACCTTGTATCTTAAGCAAGGTCCTGGTTGATCTGTTCTAATGAATATCCTGAGGCTAAAGTATATACTATCTTGAAAGATTGATTTGCACATTAATACTATCTTGCAAGATTGATTTGCACATTAATTATGGCTTCTATATTCTGTCAGAAAGAGACATTGATAAATATTTTTTTTTCTTTTACGTTGCAAATTCACAACAGCGGCTATTCAACTTCTCACAGAGATTATATAGGAAAAATTTCAGTCAATAAAGACAATCACCTTCTCAAAATCTGGTCCATGTACCCATCTGCAAGTGCGTCTGTTGACCATGCGCCAAGGTTTGACTGCTCGCACAGAAGGATTATGAAAAAAGAAAATTCAGTGTGCTAAATTTCTACATCCGATTGCATCAACTTCAAGATGGGTCCATTCATTTGAAAAGGAAAAAACCTCAAGATGGGTCCCACGTGGAGGGCTCTTAGTGGGGCCCGCTGATTCTACTGGTGGGAAAGCAGCAAAGGAAATTGTGACCCTTTGAGAAGGAAAGATCATTCTTACAACACTTTAAACCAGTCACTGTCCAAAGTTAAATGACTTTGACTGGCACTTAAGAGTGTAAGACTGGGCAAAGTTAGAAGCAAGACCACGAGGTAGCCTACGATACGCAAAGCTAAAAGGTTCCAGATTAACTTCTATTTAGCACGTGAGTAGTTATTTACAATTCAAGAAATTTAGTGAAAAGTCCCTATTTTTTTTTCTAATTTTTTTATTTTATACAATTATTTTGCTTGTGCTTTAATGAGTGAGCCTTAGATGTAAAATATGTAATATGGAGCGGCTAACAAAAACTGAATCTACATTATTAGCTTAAAAGGATAGGGGCCTGATTAATTAATATAATTAATATATAATTTATTTGGTCTCTACGAGTATCTTTTTAGTCATATGCATGTATTTCTATATTAAATTGAACAAATTTTTATTTGAACTATTGCTTCTTCTTTTCTATTTTTATATATACTCTATTTTTTATGGATATCAGTATACAAATAGCTTATACCAATGACTTATAGCATATGGATTATTAGAAATTAGATAATTTGAGCGGGAGCTTTTTCTTCAAACAATTTGAAAAAGAAGTTCAAAATAAGAGTGTGGACAACTTTTATTTTTAAATTTAAAATTTAGAATTAGATAGTTTGACTACTAATCTCTTCTTTACAATATTCCTCTTTATTTATGATATCATAAGATAAAGTGAGAAAAAGGAAAGTCAATTTGCCGAATGAGCGCATAGATAGTTTATATTTTAAATTTAAATTTTAAGACTAAAGAGTTTTACCACCAAACTCTCCCTTTTAGTATCTCACTTTTTTCTATAATGTTTAAAAATTAAAAGGATATAAAAAAATTTAGCCCTGCATGTGTGATCACAACACCATAAATGTCTTTTTGATGCAAGAATTGTGGAGATTTTGTCGATCGGCAATGTCATATTATGTTAATGTTTTATTATTAAAAACCTCTTGAATTTTGGTATGAACTAACAAAAATATTAAGCTAAACCCTACAACATGAAACAATTAAATAAAATGTTGCAATTACATGAGATATAAGACCTTATCATATTAATTTAATCTAAACTAATCTCATGCTTAACCTCAATTTTGTGATGCTTGCATTAGAACTTTAACTTAATTAGAAAAGTATATGTCATTTTAAAATATTTATAAAATAATCTTAAGAATCCAAATATTTATTCTTAGAATAATCTTAAGAACAAATAAGAATTCCAATCTAGCTACTTATTAAATAATCGAATAAAGCAAGGAGAATTCGAGATAATAGTTTGGTAAGTTGCATAAATAATTTGTTTATTTTTGGCAGATTGCAGAGAATATTTTTGTAATAGGAAATTTTTTTATTTTATAGATCTTTGCATATTATATATATATTTTTGCAAGGGTGTCTTGTGTTCTATTAGTATTTTAAAATCGAGACACGGTGAAGCAATAACCTTTCTATATAAAAATCAGTAAATAAAAGATATTAAATCAACAAATAACAAAATAACTGACTATTTCATCAATAATATTTTAAAAGGAAGACTAGTCCATAAACTTTTTTTGGTCAATAAAAAAATATTATTCATTTTCCAAAAATGTGCAGTTATGTACATCTAGATACTCAGTAAATAGAAAACTGAGTAAACAGAAAATAGAAAACCGAAAATCAAATTAAAGAAACAAAAACAAGAAAGGAAAAACCCCAGCCAACAAAAATTTTTTACAGGGAAATAATCCACTCCCTGTTTTCATTCGGCAAAGGACTGTTGAGGATGACAGTCAATATATCAATCTTGATGTCCCTAATTATTTGATTTGTACTTCTGATTTTCAGCTGAAATATCCTTGCATTGCGTTCTCTCCATATGTTATAGACAGCTGCCGAAAATGTCATTCTCTTCACTTTTAGTTTGAAGCCTTTCCCCTTCAACCTATTGTTATACCAAGTCAGTAATAAATTCCGATCACAAGCTCTCCAATTATATTCAATCCAGCCCATGATATCATTCTAAACTTCATTGGAGAAACTGCATTCAAAAAATAAATGATTTCGGGACACCAAACCTGCACCATCACATAAAGAGCAATGACCAGATTGGATAGCCCCCCTCCTGAGCAGTCTATTCTTTATAAGAAGCTTATCTTGAACAGCCAGCCACAATATAAAAGAGTGCTTTGGAGAATTTAACCTTTCCCAGACAGTGTCGAACCATTGCACATTGTTTATTGTTGGATATAGTCTTGAATACAGCTTTGAGAGATGAATTTTAGAGTCCTTGAAACAAGAAATGATATGTTGCTTCAAGTTTTCAACTCCTCCACAAAGTATCACTACCTTATCTCTAACTTTTAACAATTATTTCCATAGGCAAGAGTCACCAGATTTCACATTCACTTGCCAAATGTTACT